TCTGACTTGAGCTTAAGAAAGTAAATCAAGCAATATTTGGCTAGATCATTAATAAATATGAGGTAATACTTACTGCCACTTAGGGAGACAGTTTTCAAAGGACCTCCCAAGTCATTTCCTGACTTGTCTTCAGTCACTTTCTTCCCTTTGTCCTTCTTCTCTGCATCAGTTTTCTTTGAACTACTACCACCTAATTTCAAGTTCTTAATTCTAGCTACTAGAGCACTATCAACTGCTTTTATTTGTCTAAAAGCTCTCTTCTATTCCAGCCCCTCTAAAGCATTCACAAGCTCCTTCAAGGTGATTTGTGCTAAATCTTTGAAATCCTCTAATGAGGAGATCTTAGACTCATATCGTTCAAAAAGACTCACTAGCATTTTGCTAACTAATTTGTCTTCAGGCACAGCTTTCCCTAGCAACCTAAGTTGATTCACTATACCTAATAATCTTCCAGAAAATATTCTAGCAGACTCATCTTCATCCATACTTAACATTTCAAATTGTCTAGTTAAGTTCAAAGCTTGAATATGTGTGGTTCTTTCACTACCCTGAAATTCATCCTTCAAGTGATCCCAAACTTCTTTAAGATTCTCTAAATGCATTATTCTAGCAAATATTTCATCAGTGACAGCATATTGCAAGCAAGATAAAGCTTTATACCTCTTAGCTTTGTCCTCTTCATGCTGCTTCATCTGTGCAATGGTTGGGTTGGCATGTCTTAGCACTGGCTCAGCCCCAGTTTCCACAGCTCCCCAAATGTTGAAAGCCTTCAAGTAAGACATCACTTTGACTGACCAGAAAACATAGTTCTCCCCTAAAAACCAACGGAGCTGATGTGCTTAACCCAGCTGTGGCCATGAAAAAAACAATCACAATCGGATGAATAACAAAAAAGCAAGGTAGATAAACAAGTAAATAGCACCAACAGTCCCTTAAAATCTTTATATTTACTCTGATACTATGTTTAAAACATTTGAATATTTAAACGATGAAGATGATGAACAGCGGAGAAAATAGTCAAGAGAGATGAGAGAGAAGAATACTATTTCCTCAAAAAAGCGACTTCAGCACAGCGTTTCATTTATCAACCAATATATATGTTGTTCAAAGAGAGAAAAAATGTAAGAGAAATAGCAAACCAGATGAAGCCATCTGGCCTTACAAAGACAGAGGATGCTGGGATCAATGAAAGATTCCCTGGCACAATGACTCATACATTACCTATACGACACAGTTTCACTAAGTAAAGTAGTTAAATTTTGACTTTTAACGAACATAAGATTAAACAGTAAAAAAAAACAAATAAAATGGAATATGACGGAAGAATAAAACGGTAAGAGTAAAGCTTCGAGACGGCTGCTGATTCAAGTCTTCTTCTTCCTTTTGAACCTCAGGCTTCCCTCGAAATCACTATTACCTCTTCCTCTGCAGCAGATCAAAAAACCATCAATTTCAACAGTTTCTTGCGTCACTCTCCTAGCATCCTATACGATCCCCTCATTGCCTGCCAAGATTGCATATTTGTCTTTCCTTGTAAGATTGGTACACTCAAATCCTAAAGCTGCTGCAATCTGATTCTGCACATAATTGGTAACTTCGAACTTTGATTTCCCTCCAGTATTATGTGTTTGGCAACTTGGCAACTTGTTAAGAATCTTGACCGAGCACATAGGATTTGGATTCATGAGGTGAAATGTTGAGTCTAAACATTTGAGTCCGCTAGCTGTAGATCCATAGAACAGGCTAACCTGCAATTTTATAGCTACAGGAACTATTTCATCAGTCATCTCTGCGAATAACGGGCTGAACCTTAGCAGGTACGGTTCTCTGCAAGTGGTTCCTTCAGGGCAAACCGCAAGGTCACCTTGGCTCAAAAGCTTCTTCATAATTTTTCCATCTTTCTCTCGATCTCTTGTTAACCTGACCGTCTTAATAGGGGAAATTACCTCACTGAATCTACTAATGCTGTAGGTGACAGCAGAGACAGACTTCATGAGAACTGCACTTAAAAAAAGTGGGTCTAGTAAAGTTCTGTGGTTGCAAACGTAGAGCATGCCTCCTGGTTTTTTTTCACCGTTGATTGAAGAAGCGGTAGGTTCTGGTTTTGATACGGTAATTATACACCCAGACAAGGCCAATAAAGGCATAGATAACTTAAAAGGTAATGATATGAAAATAATGGTTCTGGCGATGTTCAGAAGGAAGCCAAAGGGAAACCAAATGAACATAATTAGCGCAGCTAATGGGGTTGGCCTAAAAGCCAACCTCCCATCGTGGAAGATTAATGGCTTTGGGTATCTCTTCCTTGGAAGGGCTTGCCAATTTTCCTTTTCTGCCTCTGTTACCAAGTAAATTTCCTGTTGCAACACAGATTTTCTTAATGCTCCTTGAATAAATAAATGTACGCATAAAATAAAATAAAAAAATTAATCAGAGAAAGAGTAAGCGGCTGAGAAGTGGGGCGAATGGAAAGAAGAGTTCGTTAGTCTTAGGAATTTTACCAACCTTGCAATGTGAGAAAATCTTCTGATCGTGAGATTTTCTGAAGCAGCCTAAACCAATATTATGAGTACACTCGCTTATAACAGGTCCAGCATCCATCTTTTCCTCCATCAAACCCGAGAAGTACCCGCGAAATTCCTTCAACTCTCTTGCAACAACAGCATCAATTCCCAAGTGGTCTCTTAAGAATCCTTCAACCATGATTTTAGGCATTCCAGTCACTGCTACCCTTTTTTTGTAGCTCATCACTATATCAAAGCCTTCATAACCCACATCTTCCAGGAAGAACTTGGGCAAAATGGCAGTCCCAACTCTAAACTTCTCCTTCCTAATGCCAACAAAGCTTACAAAAACCAGAATCCTCAATCCAATCTCCTTCCCGATTAACAAAACAAGAGGGTACAGAAGAAGCAAGATAAGTGCTCTAAAGAGCCCACCTGCTTCAAAGGCCACCAGCATGAAGTAAGGAAACAGTGAACATGACTTCAGGAGTGCACCCTCCAGGTGAAAAACCAATGTCTGGTTTGCAAGCTCATCTGTGCTATGGACAAGTGTGGAATGCTTAAGAAATTTGAATTGAGTTGCAGGGCCATTGCTGACCTTGAACCTTAGACAGTGCAGCTTCCCTGATGATTTAAGCAAGGTTTCGAACAATAAGGAAAGAGCTTTTAGTGGGAAGAGCTTCTTTATTTTTGCCATTGTTTTGCTTACCTTGTGACCAAAGGGCTGAAAATTTATAGTAACGAGTATTGTTATTTGTTAGTTACTTTGGTTTAAGATAGACAATGGCTCATTTATTCCTCTAGCCGCGTCGTCGTTCTTGATAACTTTGATCGCTTATTGACAAAGGTTTCCATACATGGCCGAATTTAAGTGTTAATGTACTAGGCAAACTTGTCCCACAGCACTGATTCTCGGTTGGCCATGGTCACCTTCGGAAAAATTGATCGAAGCCACCCTCAGGACTTTATACATAAACTAACGTAGAGGGACAAAAAGATATTGAGACAATGTTTTGATGTTGCTAATTTTGCAGTGTATTTTCTCTCTACTATGGTAATCTTACAAGGGTAGTTTATATATATATTTCTAATTAATGATCTTCCATATCTTGTAAATTAAAAGAACTCAGCTAGAATTTCAATTTTTCGAAAGTCTGAGATGAAACTAGTCATGATTAATTAGACAAAAATGTGAGAAGGGGGTTGGTAAATGAGCTTTTGTCGTATGTCTTAACTCTTGGAAAAACGTGGACCATTAATAGATAGTGTTCTTGTTGTGCACTCCAATCCTTTTGTCTTTTATTAAGTTCGTTAACAATTCGTTTTCCACAGTGGTTGATGGGAGTGATTTTATTGCTTGATTCCTACTTGTTCTGTTGAAGAATTTGGTGGGAAATAAGCCTCACATAACCCACGAGATGCTCCGCTTTCAAACATTTATAGCTCTAAACTGAATCAATTTTTGGTCTTCTTTTCCATTTTACTGCCATCTCCATATGCCAGAACAATTGATGCATACAATGCTTTAAATAGGTACATATACATACATACATACATACATACATACATAATACGCAAATTAACTCCTAGCCAGGAAATAAAATTTATGTTGATCTCTTGTCCATTAAAATTGAGTCAGGTTATCAGCTGTGTATTCTGTGTCTTTCTTCTACAGCATTATTATTAATGCTATTTATTAAGGCAATTGATTCCTTCTATTGGAACAAGCACTATATTTCTAGATAGAGCCTAGAGTCACTTATGTCAGTCAAATATTTATATAAAACATAAGGGTTTAAAACATAATTAAGTGAAATTGATAATTTAGTTACCTACGTGCACCTCTTTTAAATTATTTCATGGCAATTAGTAAGAAATTAATTCAACAAATTATCAACGGAAATAATGCAAAAACTCATTATGTTTTGAGCTATACCTAAAATGAAAAATAACTCTTTATCATCTTAGAAATCCGTGCTAATTATAATCCTCACAAGAGCAATTAAAACCTAACAATAATACCCCTTTAACGCATTGGTTATACTTTCTGCCATGTAGGGAACAATTACATGTCGTAACTCACAAGCAGTAGGAGTTGCTGGTTTCTTATTTAATGCATTCTCAATTCACATGGAGAACAGATGAACAGCTGACAACCTCGCTCCAGGATGAACCATAAACTTACAAGTCACAACCAAAAACCTGTAAACAGAACTTATCGGAAAAAATCTATGAACAGACTTCTTCACTAATGTGCCTCATTTAGAAGAGCAAGTACATACTCTGGTAATACCAACTCATTGTACATTGGAAGAAAGGTTGAGCAATCCATATGTTTGGCCGCTCTCTCAAGTCCATCTTTTACCACATTGATTAAGCACCTTTGTAACTATTTACAAGATGGTAAAGTATCATTAGCCGGGAACTTTTTAATCGCAGTCCACAAATGTGTAAAATCCAATTCAACCATGAAGGGTGTGCATAGTCTGTCCCTAAAAAGCTGCAACAACAAATTTTCTTCAACACTAATTCCACTAAGATCCATTGAAGTAATGCAAGTCTTTACCCCTATAAGGTTTTCTCAAGAATGATACACCAGTTTGATTTGTCATAAAACTTATCAACGATCACAGCATTATCCATTCCAGATACCAACCTGCAGAAATTTATGTTAAAAAAAAATGAGCAGATGATATTTATCTGCATATGTATATGACAGTAGGTAGTTTACGGTCCAATCATCAAACCCCAACATCGTACTCTAAAAGAAACAAAGGAACTAATTGATTTTATTATAGTAAAATTATAGGCTTGACCATGTTCTTTCTCAACCCAAAATCATCTAAATCCCATTGACATCAACTCCCAAGGCAATTAACGATTTCCAAATTAAACTGTTGTAAGCCATTTTCTATCCCCTAGATGCAAAGAGAAGATTTTTACACCAAGTAACTACCACTGAAAAGCTTGACTTTCACCATGTCTCTTAAATCCATAGTAAGCAACTTCGGCTTGAACCAAGGGGTGAAGATAAAAGAGATGATTGCTATGATCACTTACTTGACATGTGCCAGGTTCAAAAAGGGTTCTAATATTGTTATGTCATAACAACATGTCCACTTAGATTGGTAAAATTAAGTATAGTATAAACGCCAGTTAGATAGATAAAAATTCTTTAGCAATCACATCATATATCTAGGATCAGAAACCACTATCAACCCGTTTTGGAGACTTAATGAAATGGGGGAGGAGGCTCGCTCCAGCTGCAGCCCAATCATTGGGTAATATGTTAATAAATAAATGGTCAAATAGAACTTAAAGCACTTGCAAAAATGATATTGCATACCTTTCAAGTTCACCTTCACCAAACACATGGTAATATCTGTCATACACTACAGCACCCTTCTTATCATCTTTCCTTGCCAGACAATTTGCAAGAGCACCAGAAGATGCACCACTAACTTCAGCACGATGATAAGGTAAGTGCCAAGGCACAAAATATTCCTGTTGACTCATTCCGTGTTTAGAAACGAATACATCATCTGCATTTTGGGGGGTTAAACACATTGATTGTTGCATATTCTCTGTTAAACTATCATTAGAATCTTTAGCATGTGCTTGTGAACCATTTTCCTCAGTTTCAGGAATGCTTTCTAAAGTGAAGGGTGAAGGGCCACGAACACGAGGACTACCTGGTCCTATCCACTCTTCCACATACTTTTCAGTAAGTGGAGTCCATTTGGTAAGTAATGACTTATCCTCTTGTTCTACAGCCCAAACGGTCATTAGAACTAGGCCACCCTTTTTGACCACCCGGACTAATTCTTCAATGGCTTTCTTTCTCCTACCCTCTGTACTTAAGTGATGTAACACAGCAATAGAGATTGCTGCATCACCAAAATTTGTTCTGTAAGGAAGATTAACAGCATCTGCAACCAAAACTTCATGCCCTTTATCTGCACATATTTTGATAAGAGGGGCACTTATATCACATCCTATAAAATAGCAGCTGGGAGTTAAACCCAGATATTTCCCATTTCCACATCCCGCATCCAAGATAAGAGAGCCAGTAGGCAAAGATTCCAAGAAAGCAGCAACCTTTGGCCACTTAGCAAAGCGGGTGGAACTAAAATGGGGGGCAATAGCATCATAAACACGATGGACATACTTCTTTTCTATTTCAGGAGTAGATTTCACGCTTATAGATGAGCACCTAAGGTCCTCACTTACAGACCCGGATTGCATTATATGGGGTTCTCCATCAGGTACAAGAGTACACAAACTAGAACCATCTTTTACTTTGATTTCCATCATACTGCTAAAAGTTACTGGATAAACAAATACACAAAAACTGTCAAGGGATAGAGTGCATTTACCCCAAAATCGATGGATGTACCTACCAGCTCTCAGAGAAATAAAAACCATCAGTCTTACGCATTGTGCCTAAGCAGGTTTGACCTGCATAAAAACCATTTATCAAAACACACACATCAGAACCTAAGAAACAGCAAGCTGTACATAGTTTTGCACCCCAAAATCTTTAAAAAACCATTTGGCATCACCAATCTCAATTGGATATCAATAGGGAACAACATAAATGATGGTTCTAAAATACTAGTCGAAACATCCAGGGAAGCACACACACGTAAATTTCACTAGTTTATCTATTCGAAATTCAGCAAATGCTGCTCCTTGCTTTTCAGCTGATTAATTCTACCTAGTTAATACAACAGAAGAAACCCAAACATGCATTGAAATAAAGTCAACTATTTGAGTATTTCTTCGATTAATGCACTCTTGAGCTTCAACTAAAACAAGCCTAATTTCATATCAGCAAACTAAGAAGGGGCACTAATACCAACCAGCAATAACCGCATTCCCCCCAAAACTATATAGAGTTCCAACCAAATTACCATTTTCCATTTTTTTTTCTTAACAAAGAATAAATTAAAAAATTTCAATTTTATATTCTCGTCTATGTAACAAGAAGACAAAACAGAGCTTAAGAAAAATAGCAGAATATTACTGGAAAAAAACACTAAAAATAAAATATTAATTATTCATAAAAGAAAAGGTTACTCTTTTACCAAGAGATTATGGTAGCTTACATGATTCAGTCGGGATAGAAAAGAGAGGGACTAGAGCGGTGCGGATTTCATTTGATTTTGCGAAATTTGTGAATTAGGGTTTTGCAGAGGCACGGACAGTAATTTTTTTGGGTAAAAGATAGGGGGATAACATGTCTATAGTAAACGGCGTGAGCCCTTCAACATTGGCCGATCGATTATTCTATTATTCATGAAAATTTACATTATTACTTATCCTTTTTAAGTTTTGCGAAGTTTGGTCCATGGTTTTTTTTTTCTTTTCTTTTTTAGGGCTTTACCCCAAAGGGAGCCCTTCCAGAAATTCTCTAAGGCCAGGGCCGAACCCAGGCCTAAGAGGGGGTTTGGAAATAGTTTTCAACCAGCAATAGACGCGCCTCGGTTAGAACCTCACTAGCTGCGTCATTGCCCCAAGCGCGAAGTTTGGTCCATGGTTGATACACCATTTTTTCTTCAGATTAAATGAAAGTTAGAAAGGGTAGTTATATTATTAAATTGAAATGGTATAATACTTAAAAAAATTCTTCAATTACATAAAAGGATTTAAATAAATTTTTAATTTTTTCAATGTTTAATCAAGTTTTAATATTTTAATTTTAAGATAAATAAAAATTCTCTTATCATTTTTATGTTATACGATTTAATGACATATTATAATATATAATGATATTGTCTACTGAGACATGATAAAATTATCACATTAATGGCATAAAAATGATAAATATCATTTTAATTTAATGATAATTAATTAATTATTATTTAATTTAAAATAAAAATATAAAAATTTGATTAATATTATAAATATATATATTAATTTTTTAAATAGTTTCGGAGTTTTTATAATATTATGTTATTTGAAATCAAAATTCATACATAATCATTAGGGTTAATTTTTTTTTATTCAATTGTTGTATCAGTGTTGGAAATGAATGGCTTAGTAAAAATATAGATTTTGATTTCCTAAGAATCGATTTGGGTGGCAAATAAAACCTGACATGAGAACAAACTTATTTGGATTAACATCTTAATGAAAGGTATATTTTGTTTTGAATTACTATTCAACTGTACACGAATGATAAAAACTTTTGGAATTTGTCTTTCATTTATTGCACCATTAATGTGATTGTGATTGCTTATGGTCGAACACTGAATTTGACCTAAGATGTTGAATGATATAGCTGCGGTGCAAATGGAGAACTTATTTTTTTATTTTTATCTGAATTTAGATTCAATGCATCTATCTATAGTGTAAACGTGGGAAGACAAGAAGGAATAGTTTTCCATATATCACCGTATATAGTTGGTGATTGTAGTTTACAGGTCGCGGCAGGTTTGAGACGAGAATTAAACATGTGTTTCACGAGGCCAAATTCATGTAGGAAACTCCTGTCACTCTGCTTCACTTGGCTTGGTGCAATTTTTAACTTGGAAGTCAATGAAAGGATGGGTTGAGCTTGAGATTAGTTGTTATGTGATGATTAATGGCAAAACAGAATTGTTCTGATGAATAATAGTAGTTGATTTGTGGTAAAGGATAAGGAGTTTGCTAATCTTGAGCTTAAACTTCAACAAGGGGAGTCATTCTCATTAAAGACTTTCGTGCATGCTGAGGCAACTTATAATATATCTCCTACTTTGGAGAACGCAAGGATCAGGCTTTTCCAGGCTCAGGAGATGAAGATGCAATTCCAAAGTGACAGTGACTTGGAGCTTGGAACTTGGAAAATATTGCTTAATTCAATTTTCCTGCATTGCAGACAAGGTCTATAAGATCATAACTTCTACATTTTCTCTTTGAAGATTTGTTTGTGAATGTATAGTGCGAATTGTCAGCATCAGAGTGGAAAATGTGCCACATGTTCAAGACAATTTGGTCCAAGCCAGCTGCTGCCCGACGCCTTTTACTGTGCTTTAGCAGCCAGTCTCTCATCAGCTTATGGAGTCGTGGTTCTTTTTTTGGCTCTTGGTCCCGTTACAATTGAATTAGTTTGTGCCATGTGGCTGAATAATTCTTTCTTGCTAAATAGAAACTCCACCATATAGCTAGTCTCGTCAATATTGCAAATGGTGCGATTCAATCTTTTCTTTCTTTTTTCTTTTTTTCCTAGAAAAGTGAGGCCTTGTCAATGAGAGGCCCATAATGGGACTTGAAAATCGAGGTAAGTTCAAGGAATCGTCCCGGCTGAAGTTTTTGCATTGGAAATTTCTTCTGCTTGGCGTGCTAGTGTGGAAAATATAATTTCCTGCAATCAAGGGTGAAGCTAAAATGGCTAAAAGCATCCATATCTGTCATGTTCCTAGAACGATAGTGCTAAAAAGAAACCTTGAACATTGATGGCTGGCGTGAGCAGATTGATCTCATTTTTTGTTTGCTTCCAGGAACCTCCACAGCAAATTCTGTTGCATATCCACAACAGAGATGGTCCCCGGTTGCACGTTTTTCTCGGTCAGCCTGTGGCAATCACAGGCAAGTATATATAGGCATTGCAAATGCCGTTGATCTCAAACTCAAAGCCTCCATATTAGCTTTTGAACCGAATTCTGAAACAGAAAAATGTATTATTCTCAGCATTTATCATGCATTTGCATGCCTCATGCAGTGTTGTTACAACCTAAAAGAAGTTGGAGCAGGTTGTCAAGTACATTAATAAAACAGACCTTGTTATCAATTATTTTTACTACTGTTCTCCTAGTTAAGTTCAGGCAATGTCTTTTGCGTGACACTTATTTGTGTTTCCATTCTTTTTTGGTGTAATTTGCAGTTCACATTCTAATGCTGGGAAGAGACTTGGTAAGTGCACTATGCCAAATTTATTATGTTATGTTCTACTCATTTGGAGAAACATTTTCTTCTCAAAATTTTATGGACTAACTTGGGAATATCAGTTTCAACATGTCAACGTTGTAAATATACTTTTTAATTTGTTCTGGGTAAGAACAATACAGAAGAAATTCTGCTTATAAGCTATTTTCTGCACTAATTAACAAGCATTGTAGGTCATTGCACACAGGTCCCACGAAATGTGAACTTGGAAAAACTGCGAAGTGGATATCTGTTTCCCGAGGTTGGATGCATCTAAATTTATGTTTTCATCAAATTGTTATCATATGCTAATGTCTGCATCACTATTATTTTGTAATTATAGCTTAGGGAGATCTCTTATATTCTTCCTAGCTGGTACTCTTCAATGGACTTACCTTTTTTGTTTCCTTACTCAGATATCCAAGCGAGAGTCTGAACACATGCAGAAGAATCCACACGCTAGCTTACTAAGACTTGGTATTGGTGATACAACAGAACCAATACCGGACATCATAACACTAGCAATGGTTGAGGTACTAAACATTTGGAAGTGATACTTAAAATAGTTCCCGATTTCTTCAGGTTTTCAAACTGTTTTTTTTCCTGATTTACAAAAATTGCAGCATGTACGTGGCCTATCAACAATTCTAGGTTATAGAGGATATGGAGCTGAACAAGGCAACATGGTATTATGACATTTTCATTTCTTTTTTTCTTTTGTTCGTTTTGCTAGAATGCAAGAATGCCGATGACTCCGACCAACTTTATATCATGGAACTAATTTGGAGCATTTTACCTGGATTTTTCTGAATGCCAATGGCTCTGACCAACTTTATATGGTCCTAATTAGGAGCATTTTACCTGAATTATTAAGCATTAGATTCTCTTTGTTACTATTAGCCCACCACTGTACCACATACATCCATCACTGAGTGATGATCAATCTGTTATGTAAACTGCTGCCTTTTTGTGGATTTGATTTGTTGCACATTTTGAAGATTTAGATATTCTGCCTGGATGCTTACAAAATTGGCAGGGAGACATTTTCAGTTGCAGAAAGGACTACTTAATGGAGGCCCGAAGGATGGAGTTAGGAATTCTTTGTATTGCCATTGATGAATTATGAGGCAGCGTCCCAATTTTGTTGAGACATCCTTATCAATGGTAGCAAAATGTCAAAATCATTGTCGCTGGAGTGGCACTAGGAAGTTGGCCAGCATCATAACAAATTCCTCACAGTAAAACATTTGGCAGAATCAATATAGGCATATGTATGTGTACATATACATATATGCATATGTATATGTATACATATAGGTATATACATATACATATACATATATAGGTATATACATATATAAAAAAGCTTGATCTTTTCAAATGGATCCCAAAAGAAACTTCTTTATATCATCATAGATCAAATTTCAATAGATTAGAACCATCTTTGTCATAAGAAAAACTCTAGGGCACAAGAATCACTTCTTATTGAATAATTACTCAACAGAATGCTGCATTTATATCAGACAGATTGCAAAACAGGTGTAGGAATGCTATTAGATGATGTTGATATATTTCTTCATGATGACAATATTGAATGTTTTAATTATGTATTAAAGTATGGCTTCCCAGAGGGATAAAATAGAAGTAATTGAAGTCATTCTGCTAAGAAATGTATTTTATACACTTTTCAGAACACCAAAATACATAATTTCTTCTGCTGTCTTCCGATTTTTCAGCCTGTTTCACCACCCTGCATTCACAGTTGTGTTAAGCATAGGTCAGGTCATTAATTAAAATTAAGACCACTATTTTAATTGTCAGAAGATTTTTCACTGCTAATCAGCATTGTCTCGCATAAAATTGCTTAAATTAAATGTCGACAAATTCAAAAAAAAAAAAGTGGAAGAATGAAATGCTGATGTTTGGCCAGAGAAATCAATGAATGTAGCATTCTTCAACTTTGAGAGTAACGATTTTATTTCCTTGGCAATCTGAGATGTAAGGTTGCGTGGAGTGGCATTTTTATATAGCTAACTTACTCTCTATACTTTTCATATCTAATACAGAAAGATCTTCCTCACTTTTTTGCAGGCACTAAGAAAGGCTATTGCAGAAAAACTTTACCAGGATATGGGTATAAAAGCTGATGAGATTTTTGTGTCTGACGGTGCACAGTGTGACATTTCTCGCCTTCAGGTAAGCTTCGTGTATGTGGCAAATGTGCAGACTCATCACATCAGCAGAATACAAGTGATTAACACCTTGTTTTCTGTTTTAGCTGGCTTTAAGTTAATTTTTCATGGCTTTCCCCTTTGGCAGATGCTTCTGGGACCCAATGTGACAGTGGCTGTGCAGGATCCATCC